TGTTTGGTATTCGTCAATGTACTTCCTACTTTCAGAGGTGAAGACATGTAGCCACTTAGGCAGTATGTTGGGGTTTCTTGGCTTAGCCCCTGGCCATGCAATGGAAAAAAGACTGAAAAAGGGCAGGTACGTTTGCACAGGGCTACCGGGGGGGTCTTCGTTGACCACCGCCCCCCGGAGTCCCGGTGGTCCCCTGCAATTCTGTACAAATGTAAAGGACTCTGGATGACAGAGTTCCCCACACACACACACACACACACACACGCACGCGCGCACTGCAACGAGATCCGCATGCCGGCGCCGCTTGGAACGTGATTGCACTTTTGCGGGAAGCCAGGTGAAGGGTTTCAAGGCTAACCCCAAACCACCGGTCTTTGGGTTCGGCGCCCTCCGGTCCTCGGGTCGGTGCCCTACTGGCTTCTGTTTACGGCTTGCCCCAGCAAGGTGGGATGCTAGCGCCGCCCTGCCGCGCTTTTAGAAATCGCGACGGAGGCTCCGGCTCTACTCTGGTGGATGGTGCAGCCGTTGGAGCTCGAGACGGCCACCAACGCCCACACCCATAGCAAGATGCGAAACCCTTCTATCCGCATGCCGAGACCAGGATCCCTTCATTAGGGTCCGGGCGCCATCGGAAGTGTGTAGGGTATTTAGCACTACGCAGGCACATGCTCAGCGCTGCAGGGCTTACGACACGCAGGTTCAAGCGGCGTTTGCGAATCTTCTTCAAGTCCTAGGCCGATAACTTCGACGGCAGCGTCCCCGCATCCTGCAACATCCTGCAATTTAGGCAGCTGACACAGATCCCGAAGATCATGGCCGGATGAATCTCTGCGTGGGTGTACGTCCTGTCATACGATGCGGCGTGCGACAGACAACAGATATCAACAGATGAATGGATGCCGTTCGTTGGGAGAGCAAACACACCCGCTAACATGGCGGGCGGACTTACAGTAGGCCCTGGTCTTGACCTTAGCTTGCAACCGTGTTCAAAGTCCGCACATCCTCTGGCATCTAAGCAAGCGCACGAGATCGTGTATGAACATCGCGATCATTGAGCACTCCTCCTCTTCGGCATCTAGGTACTCGATGAGCCCCTCACCTGGGTCGGGCCAGGCTTTCAGACGGTAGCCTCGGAGCGGGTACAGCCAAGGCCCCAGCGCATGAGAGTACCCCACTCCCACTCCCCGCTTTTGACCTTGTCGACCTCAGTTGAAGCCGCACACCTTCAGCCGAAGAACCAATCATGAGACGAAATTTGGACTGACCCCAGAAAACGTGCGCAGTCGAGATGGCTTTCCGCCCAGCCGCATGAGTTCTGTTGATCAAGACTTTTTGTTGCTCGTAATCCACGATGTACAGCGGGCGTGAACACCTGTGCTTGAGATCGGCATCCAAATTCGGCTGCGCAGATCTGCGCAGTCACAACACCAAGACTACTGGAGTCCACCTTCCACAATCCGAGGAGATGCGGATCTCGTTGTTCTTCAAGTCCTGCTGGATGGACACCTGGCATAATTGCGCACTCACTGTGAGAAGACACATCGAGACATCAAGGAGCAAAAACCAGAAATCCAAGGCAGCTCAGTTCTGCTCAATGGGATGCCTCCGAGTCCACATCTTTTCTGCGTCGCAAGCTCTGAAGTGTGTTCCTGCAGACAGGCTTAAGTACGCAGAACCCGGTTTTTTTCGGTTGTAATCGGCTTCGCATAGGCGTCCTCAACTCCGCGGGGTTCTTGTGCATGCCCACCCTTGCAATCGTCGCAGCTTCATGCCAACACACATGCCTGCAGTGACACAGCCATTGACGGGACTGGCCAAATGCAGGTAAGGTGCCATATCCCATTCAGGAACACCTGCCGGGCGAAGTGACTGCGAGAAGTTGCTGCGAAAAGCCAACACCTAAACTTCCTAAACATTCTAAGACGGCTCATACTCACGGGAATGATGTAAGTTCGGCTGTTTAGCTGCAGGATGTGATACTTTAGCACTGATGGCACACACTGGTGCATGTCTTCCTGCCATGCCTATCCATCCGAATGCATCCCAATGAAGCTGTCGACCGTTTTGCTTCTCGAGCTTGGAGCGCACTAGCCCGTGTGACAGCAGGAACAATGGGCTGACGAGCTCGGTCGTGTCAAGAGCGGCGTCGTGGTAAAACATCCACAAAGCTGCGACTTTGACAGCGGAACAGCTTGAACGCAGACTCAGGATTGTCGGTTTCGCGGCATAGCCTGTGTGAGGACGGTGTCCTGAAACGAAAGAGCGCTGTGTCGCACTGGGAATCGCGAGTGTACGACGGAACTGCCGCAGGTTCCCATCTGCCAGATGCATTAGTTTGCATGACCCGGGAAAATGCCTGTCTTGCGTGGGATCAAGCCAAGGCGTTGCGGCACATTGGGCATTCCATGTTGTGCTGCAGCCAGGCACTTATGCAGCGCCTATGGAAAATGTGGGAGCAAGGCAACTGCCTTACAACATCACTTGACTCAAATTCCATGAGGCAGACGCAACCTCGGCTTCATCAATGCAGTGAGTGCGGAGTTCACAGAACTCCTCTTGACACCAAACACACCGACACAGGACGATTCGATACTTGTACTAGTCATCTAAACTGGCTCGCGGCATCATGCTCACAGTTAGTCAGATAGTCCCTACGTACCCCTATTAACTCCTATTCTAAGCTGCTCAGCCAGGCAGCATGGGGCCGGGTCATCCACCTCCAGCTGCTTCGCCAGGAAGAGACTTCCAAGATCTTTTTTACGATGTTTTTGCAATGCCTCCAACACACACGCACACAGACACACACACACACACTAACTAAGTAAGTTCCTGCAACTAGAAATACGACTTGCTCCCGACGGCATCCTGATTCCGACGATTTTGCTCAATCAGAATACTCACGGCCTTTGACGGCCCAGGCAAGCGAAAGAGGCAGCGCTCGTGCCAGAACATCCAGCATGCAATCAACCATACTGCGACAATCAGCGCTGCAGCGAAGCACAATGGAAACACCTCGACAGGAAGGGCATGCTGCGTCCCCCAACACTGCCCATGACCGACGGAGCATGTTGGAGTTTAGCGACTGATTAATTACTTTTCTTCTGCGCTTGCTCAAAACGGAAGCTGGCATGCATGTCTGCGACCCTAGCCGAGATGCTCCTAGCCTAGGCCCTAGGCCCTAGAATCCATGCTCCTGACAGAACGCGGCATTGAGCTCCCACAGAAAGCCACCAGAGAAAGAGGATGAGGAAGAGAGGAAGCGAGAGGGAAGCGAGAGAGCGAACGAGGGAGAGGGACAGAGCGCAGAGACAGGGAGAGAGTGAGAGGGGAATGAATGAATCACCCAAGAACCCTAAAACGCCAAGGCCTAACGCCAAGGCCTAAACCCCGAGCAGCATCCAGGCATGGCGACATGCCTCTAGACATTCCGAAAGATGATCGCTTGCTTTCAGAACTCCCGCCAAAAGAGCAGAAGTTCCGCAGAATGGCTTCAGTGCGTTGGGGGACGGGATGTTGGTACTTTGGCTGTAACCCGCGCCGGGAAACTTCCACAAGCACCATGCAGTTGCTGCCCTGCGCACGATTGCATGGCATGGCTACTGAACTGTGCTCTCCGATCTTCTCCGATGTCTGCTGATCCGGCTAGCTGGCCGGACTGCAGAACATCGGCATACTGTACAACTCACTCACACGCTTGATCCAAATGCAGCAGAAATCGCAACAAAGGTGCCGCTCAGCCTTGCCACTCGCGCACTGGTGGCCTTGGAATAGGTCTTGATGTGGTCAGGTGTGCATTCCATCAAGTCGAGGACCTTGTGCACGCTCTGTTTCTTTGGATATCGCCCAGGTCGAGAATGCATGGAACTTTCGGCACAGTGCTAAGGCAGCTCACCCCCCACTCGTCCAGAAAATCCTCGATAATGGTCTGCGCCTGCAACCAGACACAAACAACATCAGGAATTGGAGTCGATTTCCGCAGCACAAGCTGTTGGTACATGACTGGGTCACAGGCCGACCCGAGCGTAATCCAGCACCTCAGACGCATTCATCTGTTGTGCACACTCGGAAAGTCAGTCTAGAGTACCTCCTAAGGAAGCACAGGGTCTGTCAAGCTTGAGCGAGGACACAGTCAGTCTGAATACCCACCGAGTGCCGAACATCAGCGAGATGTTCTTCACCAAGCCTACTGCCTATTGCAAAAGAATCTCGTTTTCAGTGTCACCACGGGATCGTGAACCTGCCTGTCCCTCCGGCGTCTCTGCAGGGCACACGAGACCCCAGTGGGTGTTGTGAAGCTGCCTCGCGTGTGCACACCATGCCGGGCATCACAACAATCCATGAATCAATGCACTGGTGGCGCCTGGGCTTCACAAGCTTTCCTGATCGCGCCAATGGCGTGATCATCCGCCTGAAAGGCACGGGCAAGGCATTGCAAAGGCCCGGGATAGGTTTGATGTAAAGCACGACCACATGCTGCAAGTCCTCGCCTAAGATGGGAGAGAGTTGCCATGAAGGTCAGACGATTCAATCCCTGAGAAATGCCAGTTCGAACCTTGCATAACAGAGCACTGCAACAAAAAGAAGTGGCAAGCACGGCAGCAACTTTCTCAGATTTCTGAGAGTGGAGCGGGCTTCCCCTGCTTGTCCTTGCATTCAGTGCCGTTTGAGCTTGCGGTTTCGTGGCATTCGACTACAGCGCCATGCCCTACCGACGTGAGGCAACGATTCGCGGATGTCCTGGCCCCAATTGCCAGTCGCGAACTGGTATTTCATTCCCTGGCTGAGGCAGGAGGCCTGAAGCAGTGGAGGCAGCTGCTGCATGTACCTTGCGCCCTCACTGGTCACAAGTGAAAGCATGGTCCAATTTTGCCTGCTTCACACACTCCACTATGTCCGGGATCTTGCCCTTGTCCAGTTGTCTTCGCAGCAGCTTCCTCAGGTCCTGATTCATGGCTAGAATGAGTTTCTGGCTCCCCCTTGTACGGAAAGAAACGCAGGCAGACCTTGACACTCTTTCGCCACAGACCGGTGAAGGAAGCAGACACCTGGAAGACAATCTAGACAAACACCATTGCCTCTTTGCCTCCGCTTGGGTCCGAGCGAGCGCACCGGCCAGGTCAATCCTGAGCGGTGTCTGACAGGTCAAGCTCGGCTAAATGCGGGAAATCATGCACATCAGGACACTGGAATCAACTTTCTTACGTCCATGGCACCGCTTCTTCCCAAAGTGATCTCGATCATCCTCTGGGTTGCGCCCTAAGAAACCTCGGAAGCCGGCGAATATCTTCAGAGTTGACCTAAACTACAGAAAGCTGAAGAGAGCCCGACCCAGCAAAAGCCGGTTGGTCATGTACCCAATAAAATAAGCTTTTCGACCTTCAATGTTGCGCGTCCTGGACTGGGTTTCTCCCATCGAGCTTGGAATTTCAAGACCCGCGACAGTCAGATCGTATGCGAAGCTCCTGCCAATATGCGGTAGCAGCTCCTTTTGGAGCAGCTCGCGGGCATACCTCAGGTTAACCATGCCTTTGCTAGCACTGCTGTCTGCACATCTCGCGTGCAGTTTGCTCCAGTTCTGGATCGCATGCGCTTCGACAGGGCTCCAGCTGGATGCGCACATCGCGCGTAGCGCCCATTGTGGGTCCACGCCTACCCCAGGTCCCACTTCCCAAGCACAGCACGCGAAGTGGTCCCTTGCGCAGCGCACTTTGCGATGTAGTCCAGCGCCTAGGAGCGACTCAGCCTTCCCCTTCTTTTTTCGTTTTGCTTCGCTGCTTCGTCTGAGTCTAAGGTCGCAGCCATTTCCTGCGTAGATATGGGAGCCGCGTCCTCTCCAGGGACAGGAAGACAAAATTCAGCCACGCGAAGAGCTCTGAAGAGCCGCCTCGATGGAGAGCCTGCAAGCATTCAGCATTGCAAAGTCGCTCATGTCGAACCTGGCGATATCTGGCGATCAAAGACTCAAGAAACCTCAAGAAGCTCAAAACTACAAGCCGAAGCTCGTGAGCAAATCCTGCCGGCTCGACACGATGCGCTCTAGAATGTCTCTGTCAGCTACAATGCCCAAGGCACGGAACATGATCACCAGTGGGATCTCTGTTCGGATGTAAGGGCCTGCATGCCATGCAAACTTGAAAAGGGCACCTTACAAGCATCCCAATCACTGAGCGTGGGACAGGTGCAAACTAATTGGCCCCGGCACATGGATTTGGAACCTGCCATGGTGATTCAGAGGCATGGAAAGTTTGAGGCAAACTAAGCTGGCCGGGGGTTCCCATGTTGGTGCAGAGCTTCACAGCAAAGCCCGAGTTGCCGGCCTTGGAAGTCACAAATTTAGCCCTACAAGCTGATGCCAGGCTTCAATCTGAGGACAGCGCGGAGCCTTCAAAAAGGGCAGAGCGGATTTCGCAGACCCAGGCCTAGGCTCTGCAAGGCAGGGCAGCCAAGCTCGAATTCTGCTGCCCGGCTCGGTGTTTAAACAGCTCAGCCCAAGGGCCGGGCGTACTTTGAAGGTTGCTTCTTGGCGAAGGCATAGACCTCATGACATCGTGGGTAAGATGCGATGCCGCAAGGCACAGGTGTCAAGATCATTGGAAGAATGATTCTCCATCTCAAGGGGAATCGGAGCTCAAAGCAGCCAAAAGCCTGGAACAACCTTGGCTTCCCCCTCTGAACCCCAGCCTCCTCAGCTGCACTACAGGGACCGACGCTGATTGCATCAACCTAAAAAACATGGCTGAGGCCACGGCAAAATTGTTTGCCATTCGCTCCAATGCGATCAACACCTTCTCGGAGCCTGGATACTCGTGGCTTGTAGCTGTTCCGCACTCGCAAAGGCCCGTCTTCTGAGCTCCCGCACCATTTATGACGAAGTAACCGCCCTGGTCAAGCGGGCCTCCGGGCCAAAGTCCAAAACAGAGCTCAGCTCTTTCAGCGGCCGAAAGCATCGGTTCCAAGCTCAGCGTCCGGCACTCGCCAAACTCGGTAAGTTGACCTCACGAATTCGCAAGGTTTTCTAAACTCAGCTAGGCATCGCAAAGCACAGGCGCAAGATCATTCTTCTTGCAGGACAGGGCACGGTCATTGGCATCTTTAAGCCAACAATACTCGGTCCTGAAGTGCCCCGCATGCACCCAAAATCATTCAGCTCAATGTGCTGTCTGTTCCGACCAGTTTTGACGTCACTCGCAGTCATTGGAGCCCATCTGAGCGATGGACCTCACCATGATGGGCATCCTCATGAGGAAGACCTTGGAGTAGTTGTCCTCTTGAGTCAATGTCCTCTCGCCGTCCTGGGCTGTGCGGCTGCTGATTAGCCCCGCTTGTAGCTGATTTGTATGGGCAAGCCGCATCGTTGACTTGGTAGACCTTTCGCTCAATGTCCACGAAGACCGGTGCAGCATAGGAGAGGTTTCGCAAGCGCGCCTCTCCGGCTGATCATCATCTAACCTCTCTGTCGCTCGAACTTCCGACCTGGAAGTAGGCCGGGCCTCTCGTGGTGTGAGCTGCAGTGCTGTGCCATCCACCTCGTCCACGGTGGGCCTGAGACAGTCATGTTTGAATTTCAATCTCCCTCAGCAGCTGTCCCTGAGGGCAAGTTGTTAACATGCTAAACGCCATCATTGAACTCTAGCCTTGTGGCTGTCTGTGAAACACCGAGAGCCGAGCTTGTTGAAGTGCAGTTGCCCGAACTTCCACACATACGTCTGCGGCAAAGGAATTGCATGCTCTTGTACCACTTCCTGCTCTCTCTTGCGGCAGGAGCTCAGCACCAGACTTTCTTGCTGTCCTCAGAGAGGCGTGCAGGCTGAAGGCAATCAGCTTTGCATCACGTGCCCTCGCTTCTAAAGCCTAGGATCCTGAATGCCAACACTCACTTCGAGGAATTTGCTTGAGAAGATTCGACCATGCGGCCATTCCACGCAGGGACATGCTCTTGAGCTGACATGCGGCGTGTGACTGAGAAAGTTGTCTAGGATGGAAGTTGTTGCGACCGGTGCTCCGCTCAAGATGAGGTAAGCCAGAACCATGCCCGCCTGCCTTCCTTTTACCGACAGCAACTCATCCAGATCGGGAGTACACTTGAGTCGGGAATCTGATTCAAAGTGATGCCTGACCCAACATGGAAGGCGATTGCACAGGAATATGTGGATGCTACCGAGCGTCAACTTTCTCCTCTGGATGATACTGGTCCTGTGGGGTGCACTCGATTGGCGTCTGAGCCTGCAGTGCTGCCGACGGATGACCACACGTCTGCCGCTATACACTGCCTTGCTGAAACACGGTGTCTCTCAAGGTTCCGACATCAACAACCCGCTGCATCTCATAGACGATGAACTGGTCGAATGACCTCTTGCAAGGCACCACTGACTGAAACATATGGGGCATGAAGGCTGAGAACAGCAGCCACCACACAAGCAGGTAGAAACTATATGCTGGGGTATGCCGAGTATGCCGAACTGACACGGGAAGATTTCTCCATGTCGGCTCGTCAGAACTGCGAGAGCGCACCCCAACTGCTGGAACACCAGTCCCTTCTCCTGGAAGAAACTGTCGATGATGACCTGGGAAGAGCTCAAGCTGAATGCCCGGCAGAGGGCATCTCCCGAGTCGGAGGCCCAGGAGTCTTCCTGATGGATCTGCAGAGTCTCATCGATCTCGGCATCCTGGCCTTGGCCACTCTGGCGATGGCTACCCCCTCCCAGGCTATTCTGAGGTGGCCGTTTTCTGTCTCGCAAAACCTTTCTTGTCCTCTGTCCGCAATGTCAGGAAATCTTCCTGCGCTGCCCCCTCCCTCGTGCGCAGCATGGCCATCAGCCTAACTGTACTGGGGGCCAGATTTCCAATGCTCAACGCGCCAGTGCTCAGATTCATGCGGCACGCAAGGCCAAGCCTTTCAAGAGTTCTGCACACTACTCTAAGTACCGTCTCAGGTCACTACTTCGCAACACCTCCTCAAACGAGAACATGCTCCAGCCAGTCATTCCGTCGGTATCGTGGTCCCAGATGTTGCATGAGAAGGCTTAAAATGCTGCGACTAGAAGACATAGACCTCCTGGGCATGCCGAGCTTCTCTACTTCGCTGCAGGGGCCTGCTTAGCAGGCGCTCGAATTCATCACCAAGTTGAAAGGTCTGACTCGTGCCTGGCAAGTGGAAACCCCATGGGCTGACTTGAGGAGGCTGACGAACGCCAAGCACACAAGCTCGATGCAAAACTCGAATTACCCGAATGCAAGGTAATCATGGTATCCTTAAGAAACCAAAGCATCACCTGATCCGGCTCAACTGGCCATTGCGCCGTGCCTTCACAGCACTCGGCCAGGCTAGGAAAGGCTGGGGCTAAGTTTGGGACTGTCGAAACGGAATCAAATACTGTAACACGCCCCTTTCAGCGTGGGTCTCAGAGGCCCGTCTCGGTCCTTACCACCTCGGCTGCAAGCCAAACAGTCTCGGATCAAGCTCGGTTCCTTCGCTTCTCGAACCAGCTTGCTGCTTCAGTCAAGCCTCAGGTGAGGTCTGACATCGCATGGGCGGAAGAGTTCTTTCACCCTGCCACTGCACACGGTTACACTAATGCTGGCAGCCCGAAGCACGACCTTGGATCGCGAAGCATCGGGCACAGCAACTACCTCGGCTCTGGCCTGCGAGCCCCATCCAGCCGAGCCCATGGATGCGCTCAGGCAAGACTTTCCGCTGCCTGCAACCAGCTTCACTCAAGCCATACCTTCCAACAAAGCAAACTACACGACTTAGGCCTTTTCGCCCATTCGTGAGAGACAGAAGGAAGCGAATGGAAGGCCTTGGTCACTCGCAAAGTGCTCCCCTTGCTGTTCTTCCACCAGCTCTGAGCTCCAAGTCGCAGGCCCGACTGATGCCTCGCCGAAACCAGACAGCGAGCGAGAAAAGTGCGCCTTTGACCTGGAAGACAAGTTTGGCTGTTGCAGCTTTCTGATGCTTTCCCTGCCACAGCAACAGCAAGAACTGTCATGTTGAGCTCGG